TCAGCAGGGCAGGAGGCAGAGATGGTTCCCTGGAGCAGGTTTTCTCTACAGGAGGTTGTGGGACCATCAATCCAGGAACCATTTCAGACACTTCCCCTGAAATGAGCTGCGAGGTGAAGCTCCGTCACGGCCACAAACACACATAACGTGTGTAATCCTCACCCTTCACTGCAGGAAAGGATGAGCCATGTGCTATAAATACTTTTCCAGGGCCAAAGGAAATAGGGAGGCAGCTCAGAGAGGGGTCTGGGCACTAGCAGAGCCCTTGAGGAAGATGGTGGAAGCAGTTGACAGGCGGGTTATTAATAGCTTGGCATTTCTTCCAGCAGCGGAGGCGGGCAGTGGGCGAGTGCTCTCCGGCCCGGGAAGCACAAGGAACGTCTTTCCTTTCCCAGCTCCATCTTGCACAACCAAGTGGGTTCATTATCCCTCCCAAAGTGCTCGTTAGGGAGGGGGGGTCTGGAGAGGCACGGGAGCCAGATCCACAAATAAAAACACACAACTCCAAAGGGGCAGGAGGCCACGCTCTGCTCTGCCCCGGCTCTGGCTGCCCAGGAAAAAGCTTCTGCCAACCCCTTCTGAAGGGTTTCACGAGGCAGGCAGGAGCTGAGTGACTTTGTGGGGAGGGACGTGGGAGGGGAGGGGGCTGCTGCGCCGCTTTGCAGCAGAGCTCTGATGAATGGAGCCTTTGTGCTCGCTGCTGCAGCGCTGTTACCACGTCAACCTTCCGCGGAGGAAGAAAACGGGTCGGCTCCGCGCTCCCCCCCCTCCATCCGCCCGACCCCGGCTCCCTTCGTGCGCTGCCTTTTGTCTGGGCCACCAGCAAGGACTTGACACACAGCTCCACAAACAGCTCCAGATTTGGGTCATTTCATACTGAGGCTGAAGTGCTTTTCCCCCCTCAAGTGTGGACACAGCCCTGTGAGGTCTGGGGGTGGTCGTGTTTGTACCAGGGTGTCTGGGAGTGGGACACGCAGGGGTGAGGGAATCACCTCTGCAGTGGGTTTTGGGAGCAGGAAGACAACACTTCACATATCCTCTTTGGGGAGTGAAAAAAATAGTTGGGTAAAAAAAAAATCTAGTAAAAAAAAAATCTCCTCTCCCCCAAGTCCTGTGCACAGAGAAGTGAAACCCCTAAGCAAGATCTCTGCCAGGTGAGGAAGGGCTTCCAGGTGAGGAAGGGCTTCCAGGTGAGGAAGGGCTTCCAGGTGAGGAAGGGCTTCCAGGTGAGGAAGGGCTTCCCCACCACACACTGGGGCAACTTCAGGGGGCAAGAGGGTGA